AAGCAGCTTGAAATCACCTGGATTTTAAGATTTGAGTACGGTAAACTCATAATTCATTACTGAGACTCTCTTACTCCCGGAGTGACCAGTTATCAGGAGTTTTACTGCAACAATAAATAATAATATAAACTTGCAGTTTGATGCATCGCCTTTCTCGCTGGGAGACAAACACAGGGTTTAGTGTAGAGTGGAGTGACTGTGTGTTTTGTGGCTGAACAAAGCTGGACAATTTGCGCTCAGCAACATCCCACAAAACAAAGCCTTTTCCACGATCTTAAGTTTTAGGACTGAAATGGTTCCTCAGGCCAAGACCAGGTGAAATTTCAGAGCTACACACCTTCATGTCAGAAAGCAGCCCCCACCTTTTCACAATTCAGTAACAGTTTCGCTCTCTCCTCCCCTCCTCAGGCACAAGAATTGCATTTAAAGTTGCAAAAACATTGTAAAACTCAATAGTGTGTGTAAATACCGACCTCTCCGCTCCCTCTGCTCAGCAGACTCTGGCCTGTTCCACATCCTCCTCCCGGTCCAGCCCGGCCCACCATCAGCGTTTGGGCCTTCAGCCTATCTGTCTCCACCCTTTGGAACTCCATCCCACAGTCCCTTCGCTTCGCCCCCTTCGTTGCCTCCTTAGGCCGTGCCATCAGCCGCCCCTCCAACCCTCACTACAGCAATGTGACTGTTACCACATTGTTAACCAGTTGGGTTACAGCTGCAGTGTAATCAGCTAAAGCCACACGGTTTGTCCCTGTTCACCTCAGTGCTGTTTTGCCGCATGTGACAACGTGCTTTCAGATGCTTTGTTGCAATGTTTAATTTAATGCAAGTTTTGCCTTGTTCTTTCTTGAGTCAGTGACAATTAGTTAGTGAGACAGACAGACAGACAGACAGAATTCCTGTGTTGTTTTCTGTTAGTTGAGCTGAGGGGGTGGGTGTGGGGGAGGTTTGCAGAATTTGCCAGAGGTAATAATCTGCTCCGAAAGCTCTCAGCCACCTCTCCCCGCCCTTGGGTATCCATTCCAGCTTTGAAAATGGCTTTGAGACCTGAAAGATGCAGCATACATTGTAGTTACTGTATATTGTTGTTGTTGTAGTGAGGAGGTGGGGGGGTCCCAGAGCGTCCCAGAGCGCACTCCCGGTGACTCAGACGATTACACTCTCCCCAGCCTCGCCCTGTCACGTCACAAAGCCAGACGATTCACGGCCTGACAAAATCCCTCGGGATTTACAACTGCAGCAAATGACATTTGTCCAGCACCTTTTCGTGCCCACGTGGCTGTGTGTAGGAAACGTCAGGATTATTATTAATGTAACACTTAGTCATATCAATATTGCAGATTTGAGGAATACTTCCAGCTCAAAAGTTTTCCAGCCACAAAATAATAATAAATAAAACAAATAAACAAATGAATCAATCCCGCTCACATTTGCTGCAGCGCCTCTCACATCAGGAGGACATCCCCAAGAGCTTCACAAGACAAAGGCAGCAGCTAATGGATGAGGAAAGGGGAGGAAACTGAGTTATTCTCAGTGATTTGAAGACTTGGGGGAATCTGGGGCAACACATTGCTGACTGTGGTTTGATTACAGTTAACATTGGGTTAGAGTTTTAAGGAAAATGGGAAAACTGTAAATGAAATGTTGGCGGTTTTGCTCAGGTTTGAAGTGAACTGTGTCACGATGATGAGTGTAGGTTTTTATGTCACTTTTATTGTGAAGTGGCCGCATTGCACTGAGGAAAGAGTCCCCGGGGAAGGATATCAGCGTCAGTGTGTGAAACGGTTCTCAGACAGACTCACAAATTACAGTAAAATAACAAATGTTGTGTTTGCTCGAGCCAATCACACAGCAACACACACCGGACATCCCACACACAGCGCAGTACAACAACCGTATTTATCATCTACCGTGCGGATTGCATGTGGATTATGTACATTTTGTGTTTGTTTCTATGTGTATATATTACTTGTGTATTGCCCTCCATATTACCGTATGTAATGTATGAGTTTTGTGCGTGCTGTGTGTGCCATATGTGTGTGTCATAAGTGTGTGTGCCATGAGTGTGTGTGTGTATGCCATGAGTGTGTGTGCCATGAGTGTGTGTGTGTGCCATGTGTGTGTGTCATAAGTGTGTGTGTCATGAGTGTGTGTGTGTATGCCATAAGTGTGTGTGCCATGAGTGTATGTGTGTATGCGCGCACCATGAGTGTGTGTGTGCGCCATGAGTGTGTGTGTGCCATTAGTGTGTGTGTGTGTCGTGTGTGTGTCGTGTGGGTGTGCCGTGTGTGCCATGTGTGTGTGCTGTGTGCATGTGTGCCATGCGTGTGCGCCGTGTGTGCCGTGAGTGTGTTTTGTGTGTGTGTGCGCTGTGTGTATTTGTGCACTGTGTGTATGTATATACACTGTGTGTGTACACTGTGTGGGTGTGCACTGTGTGTGTGTGCGCTGTGTCTGTGTGTACCCTGTGTGTCTGTATTTGTGCTGTGTGTGTGTGCGCTGTGTGTGTTTGTGCACTGTTTGCATATGTGTGTGTGTGTGCTCTGTGTGTGTGTGTGCTATGAGTGTTTGCTATGTGTGTGCTGGCTCACCTCCGCACCTCAGGCTCTGGCAGCATCACCCTCCATGGTTGCACGCTACAGCTCACCAGCCAGTCAGGAACCTGGGGGTCTTGTTTGACCCTCAACTGTCTTTTCTCCCCCACATTCAAGCCATGACCCTCACCTCCAAAGCATCGCCCGACTCCGCCACTACATCACTGCTCAGGCGCTGAAACTCTTGTTCATGCCTTCATCACCTCCAGGCTCGACTATGCAAACTCCCTGTTTGTCGGCCTTCCCAACTCCTCCCTCCACAGCTGCAGATAATCCAGAGCTCTGCAGCCCGTGTCCTCTCCCGCACCAAACTCCGTGACCCCATCTCCCCCACTCTCGCCCGACTCCACTGGCTCCCTATCCTTCAGATCCAGTTCAAGATCCTGGTTCTCACCTACAAAGCCCTCCATGGCCTCGCCCCACCCTACCTCTGCCACCTCCTAACCCCCTACCAACCCGCCCGTTCCCTCCGCTCAGCCGCTCTGGCTGCTCCACGTCCCCGACCCACCCGCCCCACCATTGGCGGAGAGCCTTCAGACACTCTGCCCCCAACCTCTGGAATTCCATCCCCCAATCACTCCACCTCGCCCCCTCCTTAGCCTCCTCTTCGACCAGGCCATCGGCCACCCCCCCTTCTCCACCGCCCCCACCCCCGACCCCAGCTCGGGTCTGAAATGCTGTCACTGTCCAGCGCCTTGGGACGTCCTCCTGACGTGAAAGGCGCTATACACATGTTATCTTGTTGCTGTGCGTGTGCTGTGTGGTGTTGCTGTGTACGTGTGTGGGCGTGTGTGTGTGTGTGGTATGTGTTGCTGTGTGTGTGTGCTGTGTGTGCGGTGCTCTGTACGTATTGCTGTGTGTGTGCGTGTGCTGTGTATGTGTTGCTGCTGTGCATATTTGAGAGCTTTATCATCACAGATCTGTTGAGGTACATGCCAGGACAGACACACACACACACACACATACACACACACATCCACACACACACACACGCACACACACACACATACACACACATATCCACACACGCACACATACACACACACGCACGTCACCACGTGACCCGCCGGCTGTCATTACCGGGGAGTGTCACACTGACCCGCTTTGGGGACGTCACATTAGGACCAGGTCTGAGGAGTTGGATGTCCAGAAATCGTTGGGATGAGATTCCCCGATGAGAAACAGCGAAAGCTGGAGCTGAGGCTGCAGAGTAACATTAACACACAGTTATTGCTGCCCTTTGCTCTCCTGTCCTGTCACCGAGACGTGTCACATCACATCATTGTAAGGTGTAGTGACTGTGTGTTTTGTAGGCAGATAGTTTGCTCACAGCGACATCCCCCAAACAACTGTGAAGTGAGCGAGTGATCTCCTTGTCCCTTTTCTTCACTAACTGGGCACAGACAGGAGTTTGGTTTAATGTCTCACCCAAATCTGGATCTCAATCCAGATCAAGATGATAGAAACACTGAAGTAGATCTAAATCCAGAGACTGCAGCCGGAGAAGAAAATGGAGAATGGGGGGGTTTCAGGGCTTGTGTGACACAGCCTCAGACGGGGGGAATGTGGAGCGGTGCCCGTGCGTGCGATTTGCGTGTGCAGTGCATATTCAGTGTGGGGGTGTGCAAAGCATTGCTTAGTGCATGTGTAGCATGTGTGTGGCATGTGTGGTGAGAAGTCTGTGTTTAGAGCATGTGCAGAGAACATACAGAGCTTGTATGGGCACGGGGCCGTGCTGTGTTGACGTGAGCTGTGTTGATGTGTGCTGTAGTGTGTGTGTGTGTGTGTGTGTGACGGGGCCGTGCTGTGTTGACGTGTGCTGTGGTGTGTGTGTGTGTGAGACGGGGCCGTGCTGTGTTGACGTGTGCTGTGTTGACGTGTGCTGTGGTGTGTGTGTGTGTGTGTGTGAGACGGGGCCGTGCTGTGTTGACGCGTGCTGTGTTGACGTGTGCTGTGGTGTGTGTGTGTGTGTGTGCCGGGGCCGTGCTGTGTTGATGTGTGCTGTGTTGACGTGAGCTGTGTTGACGTGTGCTGTGGTGTGTGTGTGTGTGTGTGTGTGTGCCGGGGCCGTGCTGTGTTGATGTGTGCTGTGTTGACGTGTGCTGTGGTGTGTGTGTGTGTGTGTGTCGGGGCCGTGCTGTGTTGATGTGTGCTGTGTTCACATGTGCTGTGGTGTGTGTGTGTGCCGGGGCCGTGCTGTGTTGACGCGTGCTGTGTTGACGTGTGCTGTGGTGTGTGTGTGTGTGTGTGTGTGCCGGGGCCGTGCTGTGTTGACGCGTGCTGTGTTGACGTGTGCTGTGGTGTGTGTGTGTGTGTGTGTGTGCCGGGGCCGTGCTGTGTTGATGTGTGCTGTGTTGATGTGTGCTGTGTTGACGTGTGCCGTGTTGACGTGTGCTGTGGTGTTTGCAGCGTTGAGTTGTAACGAGAACGACGGGGATCACATGGACAGGGAGCAGCAATATCCTCCCTCTCAGAAAACCAAACGCATGAGAACATCCTTCAAACACCACCAACTGCGGACAATGAAGTCTTACTTTGCCATAAACCACAACCCAGACGCCAAGGACCTCAAGCAGCTCGCACAGAAAACAGGCCTCACCAAGAGGGTCCTGCAGGTCAGACAACAACACGCGTGTGTGTGTGTGTGATTGTGTGTGTGTGTGATTGTGTGTGTGATTGTGTGTGTGTGATTGTGTGTGTGTGATTGTGTGTGTGATTGTGTGTGTGTGATTGTGTGTGTGTGTGTGTGATTGTGTGTGTGATTGTGTGTGTGTGATTGTGTGTGTGTGTGATTGTGTGTGATTGTGTGTGTGTGTGATTGTGTGTGTGTGTGATTGTGTGTGTGTGATTGTGTGTGTGTGCGTGTGATTGTGTGTGTGTGTGATTGTGTGTGTGATTGTGTGTGTGTGATTGTGTGTGTGTGTGATTGTGTGTGTGTGATTGTGTGTGTGTGTGTGTGATTGTGTGTGTGTGTGAATGTGTGTGTGTCTGTTAACTTAAGTGAGTGTGTTTACATGTGTGTTTACGTGTGTGTACATGTGTGTGCGTGTGTTTACATGTGTGTGTGTTTACACGTGTGCGCATGTGTTTACATGTGTGTGTTTACGTGTGTGTGTGTTTACGTGTGTGTGTGTTTACATATTGTGTGTTTACATGTGTGTGTGTGTTTACATGCGTATGTGTTTACATATGTGTGTGTTTACATGTGTGTGTTTACTTGTGTGTGTGTTTACATGTGTGTGTGTGTTTGTGTGTGTGTGTTTACATGTGTATGTGTTTACATGTGTGTGTGTTTACATGTCTGTGTTTACATGTGTGTTTACATGTGTGTGTGTTTACGTGTGTGTGTTTACACGTGTGTGTGTTTACATGTGTGTGTGTTTACATGTGTGTGTGTTTACATGTGTGTGTTTACATCGTGTTTACATCTGTGTGTCTACATGTGTGTGTCTACATGTGTGTGTGTTTACATGTGTGTGTTTACATGTGTGTGTGTCTACATGTGTATTTGTTTACTTGTGTGTGTGTTTACATGTGTGTGTGTTTACATGTGTGTGTTTACATGTGTGTGTGTTTACATGTGTGTGTTTACAGGTGTGTATTTACATGTGTGTGTGTTTACATGTGTGTGTGTTTACATGTGTGTGTTTACATGCGTGTGTGTTTACATGTGTGTGTTTACGTGTGTGTGTGTTTATATGTGTGTGTGTTTACATGTGTGTTTACATGTGTGTGTGTTTACATGTGTGTGTTTACATGTGTGTGCGTTTACATGTGTGTGTGTTTACATGTGTGTGTGTGTTTACATGTGTGTGTGTTTACAGGCAGGGCGAAACCTTGGGCAAGTTTCCTTACTCCACACAGAGCCTAATAATAATCCCTCCAAAAAACCCAAAACAATAATAAATTGGTCATTTTCAATCTACGACTGTTTGTGGGACATTGCTGTGCGCAATTGGCTGCCGCGTTCGCCCACAAATATACAGTCAATTCACTTTACAGTATATTCTGTGAAGCGCTTTGGGACGTCCTCCCGACGTGAAAAGCGCTATATCAAATGCAAGGATTATTATTATTATTATTATTATTACATGTGTGTGTGTTTACATGTGTGTGTGTTTACGTGTGTGTGTGTGTTAACATGTGTGTGTGTTTACACGTGTGCGCATGTGTTTACATGTGTGTGTTTACGTGTGTGTGTGTTTACGTGTGTGTGTGTTTACATATTGTGTGTTTACATGTGTGTGTGTGTTTACATGCGTATGTGTTTACATATGTGTGTGTTTACATGTGTGTGTTTACATGTGTGTGTGTTTACATGTGTGTGTGTGTTTGTGTGTGTGTGTTTACATGTGTATGTGTTTACATGTGTGTGTGTTTACATGTGTATTTGTTTACTTGTGTGTGTGTTTACATGTGTGTGTGTGTTTACATGTGTGTGTGTTTACACGTGTCTGTGTTTACATGTCTGTGTTTACATGTGTGTTTACATGTGTGTGTGTTTACGTGTGTGTGTTTACACGTGTGTGTGTTTACATGTGTGTGTGTTTACATGTGTGTGTGTTTACATGTGTGTGTGTTTACATGTGTGTGTTTACATCGTGTTTACATCTGTGTGTCTACATGTGTGTGTCTACATGTGTGTGTGTTTACATGTGTGTGTTTACATGTGTGTGTGTCTACATGTGTATTTGTTTACTTGTGTGTGTGTTTACATGTGTGTGTGTTTACATGTGTGTGTTTACATGTGTGTGTGTTTACATGTGTGTGTTTACATGTGTGTATTTACATGTGTGTGTGTTTACATGTGTGTGTGTTTACATGTGTGTTTACATGTGTGTGTTTACATGTGTGTGTTTACATGTGTGTGTTTACATGTGTGTGTGTTTACATGTGTGTGTGTATACATGCGTGTGTGTTTACATGTGTGTGTGTTTACATGTGTGTGTGTTTACATGCGTGTGTGTTTACATGCGTGTGTGTTTACATGTGTGTGTTTACGTGTGTGTGTGTGTTTATATGTGTGTGTGTTTACATGTGTGTTTACATGTGTGTGTGTTTACATGTGTGTGTTTACATGTGTGTGTTTACATGTGTGTGTGTTTACATGTGTGTGTGTGTTTACATGTGTGTGTGTTTACATGTGTGTGTGTGTTTACATGTGTGTGTGTGTTTACATGTGTGTGTGTTTACATGTGTGTGTGCCTCCCTCATGTTGCCTCCCGTTTGTTACAGGTTTGGTTCCAGAACGCACGCGCCAAGTTCCGGCGGAACCTTCTACGGCAGGAGACGTCAGGCGGTGATAAGGGCTCAGACGGGACGGCTCTGCAGGCGGCCACGCCCTCCGGCCCCGCCTCGGAGATGTCCAACGCCTCGCTCAGCCCGTCCAGCACCTCCACCTCCACCTCCACCTCTGCCTCCGCCTGCACCACACTAACGGACCTGACCATGCCCGCCATGCCCACCATCACCCCTGTGCTGACCGCAGTGCCCAGCGGCCTGGAGGGGCATCAGAGCCAAAGCCCCCCACACCCCACACTCACCAACCTCTTCTGAGAAACTCTTTACACTGGAGACAACAGAGTCAGCGAGGCACAGACACAGAGAATCTTAGTTTAATTATAACTGTATTTTTTATTAGATGCTTTGTACAACTGACTAACAGCACCACAACTCTGAACTCGGAGAGAGAGCGAGCGAGCGAGCGAGAGAGAGAGAGAACGAAAGAGAAGCAATGAGGATGGAGACAGCACACGGGTTGTGGGGAATGCCTCCCCCCCCCCCCCCCACCATGCAGAGTGATACACAAACAGGACCTTTACACAGTGACCGTGACAGCCTCCGGTGTAACTGTGCGGCTGTGGTTGGAACAAGGAACTCAAACACAAAATCAACATTTTGAAACTTTAAATAAAGTTGGGTAGGAATTCTGTCACCTGCTGAGCTGTCAAAGGCCATCAACAACAACAACTTGCGTTTATATCGCACCCTTCACGCAGGGTAGTGTCCCAGAGCGTTGTCACGTGCTGCGTACACTGTCCTGACCCACACCAACCTGACCTGCATACACCCCCACTGGTCTGTGTACACCTCTCTGGCCCATGTCCACCTCACTGGCCTGTGTACACCCCCTGGCCTGTGTACACCCCCCTGGCCTGTGTACATCCCCCTCGCCTGTGTACAAACCCTGTCCTGTGTACATCCCTCCCTGGCCTGTGTACACCCTGCTGGCCTGGGTACACAACCCCTGGTCTGTGTACACACCACCCCCCCCAGACTGTGTACACTGCCCTGGCCTGTTTACACTGCACTGACCTGTGTATACCCCACTGGCCTGCGCACACTGCCATGCGGACAAGCAGGGCTGCGCTGCGTGTGCTCTCGCATACGTGTCAGCCTTTCTCTTTTCGATGAAGGTTCAGATGTGGTAAAGAAGGTAAATTTGAATAAAACGATTGTTCATGTTACACATCACAAACACACTCACAGTCCCCAGAAACTCCTTATGAAATATTGCAGAATTCAGTGCGGTTTTGAGCTACAACAACAACAAATGACATTTGTGTATGACCTTTCACATCAGGAGGACGTCCCAAGGTGCTGGACAGTCAGGGATCTGCACCTGAGCTGGTGGTTGGGATCAGGACGGTGGGGCCGGGGAGGGTAGGAGGGTGGCCAAAGGCACAGTCGAACAGGAGGGTCTTAAGACTGACCTTGAAGGAGGCACGGGAGGAGGTGAGGCGGAGGGACTGTGGGATGGAGTTCCAGAGGGTGGGGGCAGAGAGTCTGAAGGCCCGTCCATCATGAAACCGTGTGTGTTGGGGTGACTGGAGTATGGTTGAGTTGTGTTGGGGTGTGGCTGGAGTGTGTTTGGGGTGTGGCTGGGGTGTGTTTGGGTGTTTGGGGTGTGGCTGGAGTGTGTTTGGGGTGTGCTTGGGGTGTGTTTGGGTGTTTGGGGTGTGGCTGGGGTGTGTTTGGGGTGTGTTTGGGTGTTTGGGGTGTGGCTGGGATGTGTTTGGGTGTTTGGGGTGTGGCTGGGGTGTGTTTGGGGTGTGCTTGGGGTGTGTTTGGGTGTTTGGGGTGTGGCTGGGGTGTGTTTGGGGTGTGTTTGGGTGTTTGGGGTGTGGCTGGGATGTGTTTGGGTGTTTGGGGTGTGGCTGGGGTGTGTTTGGGGTGTGTTTGGCTGTTTGGGGTGTGTTTGGGTTACTGTATTGTACAGCAGGTGGAGGGGCCGTGACTTCCCTGCCGTGTTGTCAGCATGTTCCACCGCTCTCGGGGTAAAGAAGTTTCTTCTGATTTTCCTATTTGATCTATTGATGGCCCTGGTTTTGGTCTCCCCCACAAGTGAAAACCCATTAGAGCAGAGAAGGTTACGTGGGACCTGATAGAGGTAACATTATAATAATAATAATAATAATCCTTGCATTTGATATAGTGCTTTTCACGTCAGGAGGACGTCCCAAAGTGCTTCAGAGAACACACTGTAAAGTGAATTGACTGTATATTTGTGGGCGAACGCGGCAGCCAATTGCGCACAGCAATGTCCCACAAACGGTCGTAGATTGAAAATGACCAATTTTATTATTGTTTCTGGTTTTGAAGGGATTATTATTAGGCTCTGTGTGGAGTAAGGAAACTTGCCCGAGGTTTCGCCCTCTGCCTGGAATTGAACTCAGGTCTCTCGCATTCTATGAATCTATGAATCTATGAATCATAATAACTGTATATTTGTGGGCGAAACGCGGCAGCCAACTGCGCACAGCAGTGTCTCACAAACAGTCGTGGATTGAAATGACCAAATTATTATTGTTTAACATCTCTATGGCTACGCTATCAAAACCTTTCAGAATTTTAAGATCTCTATTAGGTCACCCCTCACCCTTCTCTTTTTAAGAGAAGAATCTAAGCTGTTCAGCCTTTCCTGATAGGGATAACCTTGCAGTTCTGGTATCATCCTTTTCAGAGATGTTTTTTGATGTGGTTCCCTCCCTCCCCCACCCACCCCCCCACCCACCAGGGTAGACACAGGGTTGTTGTAATTCTCTTATTGGAAACAATGCCTGGCCACGTGATGCACACATGTGTGGCGATGTTACACATGTGTGGGGATGTTATACGTGTGTGAGGATGTTAGAACTTCAACAACTTGGATCTATAGAGCGCCCTCCACGCCAGATGGCGTCTCAGAGCACTTTAAAACATTGTGTAGAGATGTTACACATGTGTGGGGATGTTACACGTGTGCGGGGATGTTACACATGTGAACTTTAATTTTAATAAGTTTCCTAACCGACTGACTGCCACATCACGTGTTCGAGAACACAATTGCACATGGGAATATCACAGCGCCATGTTCTTTTGCCCAAACCAGTTTCATCATGTCTAATGTGACCACAGTCACGCAATCCTCCCAGCACCCCCCCCCCATCTCCTCCCACCACATCTCCCCCCCTCCATCTCCTCCCCTCCCCATCTCCTCCCTGCTCTGAGTTTCTACTCGGCCGACAATCCTCCAAATAAAACCAGTCGCTCACTCCATGGCTGTGTTTGTGGGACGCTGCTGTGCGCAACTGTACTGCTGTGTTTCACCCACAAAGTACACAGTCACTGCATTTCACAGTAAATCCTGTGAAGCGCTTTGAGGTGTCCTTCCGATGTAAGATGGTATACCAAATACACAAATTCTTATTACGATTATCATTGCAATTTGAAGCGGCTGACGCTGCCTCACAGGGGATTCCTGTCAACGCCAGGGATCCCGTGACACTGAGGCAGCTCAGCAAAACAACAGCTACAACAACAACAACAACTTGCAGTTATGTTGTGTGCTTCACACAGGGCAGCTTCTCAGAGCGCTTAACCCAGACCAAACCGGGGAAGCAGCCGGTTACTTGATGGCACTTTGCTGCCGGGCAGACAGTCACTACACTGGGCGCAGTGGGAGGGGTTGCGGGGCGGGGCGGGGGGTGGGGGGCTGTGGGAGATGGCTGTTGACGGGTTTGAGGCACCTGCACTACTCGGCCTCTACACCAGGCGGCGCTGTTCAGGGCCAAAACAGCAATCACCTTCCGACCTGAACATTGGTTCTCACCGTTTCATTCGTTCGTTCATTTACTCACCGTCAGGACCTCGTGGGGACACGTTGCAGCTCAGCAAATGTCCGGCTCTTGTTGTTAATAATAATAATAATAATAACAATAATCACTGCATTTGATGCAGCGCCTGATCACATCCTCGGGACGTCTCAAAGCGCTTCACAGGATACACTGTAAAGTGAATTGACCGTATATTTGTGGGCGAAACACGGCAGCCAATTGCGCACAGCAATGTCCCACACACAGGTGTGGAATGAGCAATAATCAAATTTTTACGATTTATGTTTGAAGGGATTATTACCCCCGGAAAGCGATCCACCAAATGACTAAGAACCAGGTTACTACGTACTGGGCAAACAGAGGTGTGTGTGTGAGGGAGTGTGTGGGTGTGCGTGAGGATATGGGTGTGTGTGAGGTTGTGTGTGAGAGAGTGTGTGGGTTTGGGTGAGGATGTGGGTGTGTGTGAGGGTGTGTAAGGGTGTGTGTGTGGGTTGTGTGTGTGAGGATGTGTGTGAGGGTGTATATGGGTGAGGGTGTATGTGAGGGTGTGTATGTGAGGGTGAGGGTGTATGTGTGGGTGTGTGTGAGAGTGTGTGTGAGGGTGTGTATGTGAGGCTGTGTATGTGTGAGTGTGAAAGTGTTCTTCACCATCCGTCACCTCCTCCATGCATCCCCCCAAGCTGCCTCCATCCTCACCTCAAACGCCAAGTGCGAAGAGGTCCTAGACTTCTTTGAGTCAAAGATTGAAAATATCCGCTTGGCTGAAACCCCCTTCCCTATGTCCCCTTTCACACCCACCCCTTCGCCACGGCCCTACCACTCCCCACCCCTCATATTCCGTTGCCCCGATTATGATTAGACAACCAATATGATTAGACAGAGTCAACATGGCTTTACAAAAGGGAAGTCATGTTTAACAAATCTTTTAGATTTTTTTGAGGACATATCAAGTAGATCAGATAGGGGGGAATCAGTGGATGTAGTGTATTTAGATTTTCCGATAAGGTGCCGCATAAAAGGTTGATTCACAAGATTAGGGCCCATGGAATTAAGGGGAATATATTAGCATGGATTGATGAATGGCTAACGGGAAGAAAACAAAGATTAGGGATAAACGGGTCCTTCTCAGATTGGCGGGATGTGACTAGTGGAGTGCCACAAGGATCAGGGCCTCAACTATTTACAATCTACATCAACGATCAAGATGAGGACATCGAACTTAATATATCCAAATTCGCGGATGACACTAAACTAGGAGGGAGAGTAGACACTGTGGATGACATTCAAAAAATGCAACGAGATATAGATAGGCAGGTGAGTGGGCAAATAGGTGGCAGATGAAGTATAATGTAGGGAAGTGTGAGGTCATCCACTTTGGTGGTAAAAATAGAGTAGATTATTTTTTAGAATGGGAGAGACTAGATAGTGTTAGCGTTCAGAGGCACTTGGGTGTCCTTGTACACCAGTCACAAAAACTTAGTTTGCAGATACAGCAGCAATTAGGAAGGCTAACGGTATATTGGCATTTGTTACAAAAGGGTTAGAATATAAGAGTAGGGAAGTCTTGTTGCAACTGTATGGGGCCCTGGTGAGACCACACCAAGAGTATTGTGTGCAGTTTTGGTCTCCTTATTTAAGAAAGGATGTACTCACCTTGGAGGGGGTACAACATAGATTCACTAGGATGGTATCAGGG